GGGGAGAAAGTAGAACCCCCCCCTGCGCCCCGGAGCTGGCCTCGAACCGCTGAAGTGTCGACCATTTCTGGCCGGCAACTTTCAGCATCATTAAGCCGCTGCGCCACTGCGTCCCCTCAATCGATACAGTTCTATGAGATAACTAATTTTTTCCCTTTTTTATTTTTAAAGAAGGGCTTACTACTTCACACAGCTTGTGGGGTGCTTTTTAAATGTCTTAAAATGGCATTGGAAACATTTCTACATGATGACAGATTATTGGTTCAAGAAAGGAACAACAGTGTGTAGTGGTTGCCTGTCTTTAAAAAGAAAATGGAAATGAAATGATCATCTGGCCATCCTGTAAAATTGCAATATCTGAACCTCAGAAGAACTGCAGCCATCATGAGTAGCCTTTTGAAGATTATGGAATTTCTTCCCCCACATTTAACTGAAGATGACAATCCAGCTAAAGTAGGGAGAGGTTCTGCATCCAGTCAACAGCTGTCATTAAACTTCCTTAGTGTTTAAATTGAAAAGCATTTATTATTCTATTGCACAGAATAATTTTGGTTGAAAAGATAGGATTTAGATACTTATAACAAATTAATAATGATGCAAAGATAGTAAAGTTATGTGTCTTGTATTTTATCCTGTATCTTCTCGTTGACAGCACAATTTTATTAACAATGTTTTCTTCCTTCATTTTATCAGATCACTTTTGAGGCAGAACGTGGTAAAGGTAAAACTGGAGAAATCGGAATTGATACCGTTCTACTGTTTTCTAATTTATGTTCTGAAGACCAGTTAACATTGGATATCTGAACAGATTATTTCTCTTATATTATTTGTTGTATTCATACAGAGATTTTGTACTGCCATAGCCTAGATAAAATGTAGATCTGGGAATTGCATCTTGAACTGTGATGTAGATTTAAAAAAAAAACCCTGATAGATTTAAATGTCTTTTGTTAGATTGTTTGTACCTAAACATACTACATTTTCTTTTACCTGTAACTATACTATATAATTTGTAGTCATGTTATACAAAAAATGGTCTAGTGCTTTTGCATAAAATCCCTTTAAGGCACATTTCTACTTTACTTGAATATTCCCTGAGTTTTCCTTTAGTATTGTGATGTTTTAGAACAGCGTGAACACTGTAAGACCTCTAGTCAGGTACATCTTGATGCCTATTTTGTGGCCCTGGACCCTTTTTTTTTTTAACATAGCTGCTGAAACGTGATGGCATGGTTTCCTGACATTCTGAAGAGCAAAACACACAAAACATAGTGAAAGTTCTAAAACAGATTTATTATAATTAAAAAAACAAACACAAGGACCTCACCTTCAAACAAAGTCTTGGCCCTGCTTATGCATGTGTGGGTCCGTCACATGTCCCTGCTCATTTTGCAAATGTGTTTTGCGTAGCGTGGCCGTCCCAAAGAACATTAAGCATGGGCCACATCCATTCAAAGCATACCTACTGCTGTCTTAGAGGTTGAGCCAATTTATGGCCACTAAAATTGGCCTTACACTCTGGATGTTTATTGGAGTTACCGTCACTTACTGTAATAAATATGTAAGGTACACAAGATACTTACATCTCTCAAAACATTTAGAAATTCATGGTTCAGGCACTTCATATTTTTACTGACACAGGTATCAGTATACATATATACTTGCATATAAGCCCATCTGTGGATAAGCCGACCCTAAGATTTTTAACCAAAACACCATGAAAAATGTGCCACCTGCAGATAAGCCAACTGCATTTGTCATGATATTTTGGTTAAAAGAGTGTAATAACTTTGAAATACATATATACTCACAGATACGCCTATCCACAGAGAAGCTGAACTTGATTTTTGGGGTGAATTTTGGCACCTAAATTTCTCGGTTTCTCCGTGAGTATATACGGTGCTTGTTGTGTTAATAAATGGGGACATTATGCTTAAAAGATAATAATGTTAGTCGGCCACTACTTTTCTGCTACAAATGTTAAGCTCATTGCTTTTAATGGTGTTTTTCCAAAATCTGCAAGTAGTGTGCCCGTTTTTTTTTGTAAATTCATATACAACTATAAAATGCCACGTGTGTGTGCGTGTGTGTGCGTGTGTACATTTCCCTATTGTAAATGATTCCCCTAA